GGCGAGCGCGAGGATCTCGTTGAAGTTCGAGAGCCCGCGCAGCATGATTTCGTGCGAGATGCCCGGCTTCAGCCCTCCGACGTAACGATCCACCCGCTCCGCTTCGTGCATGTAGCCTTGCTTGCATAATGCGAGAAAACCGCTCGTTGTCAGAGGTCCACTGGTGATTCCCGATTGATCCTAGGGAAGGGTTACAGGCACGTCGGCCTGGGGGGTTATGGGCGCACTCACCCGCTACACAAACAAGCCCTTTTATCCCAGTGGTTAGTGGCTGGGATTCTGACATGGTATCAGAGCGAAGGTCTCAGGTTCGAATCCCGGTGTGTGCACTTCGGGCATCCCAGTGCGGGGGGGTGTCAGAGGTCCACTGGTGATCCCCGATTGATCCTAGGGAAGGGTTACAGGCACGTCGGCCTGGGGGGTTATGGGCGCACTCACCCGCGACACAAACAAGCCCTTTTATCCCAGTGGTTAGTGGCTGGGATTCTGACACTCGTGTAATCTTGAACTGATCCGAGCTGCCGCCAAGTACGCAGTCTCTGACACGCCAAAATAGAAGCCGCGATCGGCTCGAAGCGCGCCCGAAGCCCTGCGCACCATGCATCCCACATGCTGTACTGGGCGGTTTCGCAAAATGAACTCCAGGTAACGGCTGGGCCCGTGGGCTCTCCCTCTTGCGACGGTGGCTCGTAGGCGCGTAGCGACATCACGATAGTTCACCACCGGTCCATGGCAGGGCCCCTTAGCAGCGAAACAGCGTAGCGAATCTTCGCCGCATCCGACTCGACGGTGTCGAAGAGAACGTTCATCGTGAAGACCCACGAGTGAACAGGCGGACCTCCACGTCGGCTCGGATCGAAACAGGGCGGGCGCCGCGGCTTGAGTGGCATTGGTGCCATGATGATGTTATGGCTGCCACTTGTTGCTGCAAACTCCACGTGCCGACGAGCTTCGCGAGGCTCACGCGGGCTTGGTGCGGCCCTATTTCTCTCCATGCCAGGCATCGATTGAGCGGCGCCATCACTGGCTGCGCCTGAGCGCTGTCCCACGCTGTCGAGTTGCGTCGGTGCGCCTGATCAGATGACGATCGGATCTTCTGATTGTGCAGGTGCATTTGCGGGTGCAGGTGCTGGAGCATTCACCGTTGATTGCTGGCGAGCGGAGTGGCATTCCGCCGTAAATGCCGCAATTTCGAGCGTCGAATCTTCGAGTTGGCGCACGAGACGGTCGAGTTGCTCCTTCGTTAGTGTCGCAATGTTGAATTCAGCCATGGCGGGGGTGTCGGGCAAGCTCAGCGACTGCCTCTGTCGTGGCCGTGCGTGCTTACGAGAGAACACTTCGAGCGGCGGTGCTTGTTTCGCTGAGAGACGTCCAACCCCCCCCCAAAAAAATGAGATTGTGGGGAAGCGAAGGTGTGGGTTGTTATAGTCACAATAGGCTTGAATGTGCCTAAAACGAAAGATAGAGAGCACAGACGGATTTCTGCACAGCGGCTTCAAACGTTGATAGCGTTCTGCTCACAGCTGCAAATGACTTGATTCAAATTGGATCTGGAGCGTCTTCACGTCGTCTACAATTAGCAATTTAGATTGCACGATTTGATAAAGAATTGACGACACAGCGTCGGTTTGAACGAATGGTACTATGGCAGCCACTATAGTCTTAGAACACAAGATAGGAAGAGTTACGAGTTGGGAATGACTCCCAGCTCCTACAAACCCCAAGAGCCGAGGTACAGTGATGTGGAACAGTGCCACACTGTCCCCAACCACGAAGGGTCTCGAAACTACCCTTCACTAGGGCCTACACCAAGTGAAATGTTACACTACACAAAGTAATGTAACTATCTTCAATATCTTGAGGTGTACCCTTTTGGCAAGCTTCGAAATCACTTGAGGCTTGACACCAAGGCTCGGGCTCTTCATCACAAACTCATCCTTGAGTTCTTGATGGGTCTGCTGCACACACCTGCGACACGCCGAACGTTCGACACAGGACAAAATAGAAACCGCGCACGACAAAATAGAAACCGCGCGCGAGACACAAACGACCGCGTAACACGCGTCTAGCGATAACTCGCTATTGACTCGACACACACACTCGACATCATGACTCAACATTCACACACAATTATAAGCATGAAATATATATTATCCCATGCCCTCATACCATTCCATACACACACACATTCACGCACACGGACAACAAGCCGAGTGCAAACCGTAGGGTTGCACCAACAAACTCCCCCTCGGATTGTTGGCCTTAGGATATGTTGCTCTCTCAGTTCAGAGCCATCCCAGCCAGCTTGCAACACTTCCAATGCTGCTGCTCCACCAGCCTCTTGGTCATCATGTCAGCCGGCTGCCCCGTGGTCTTCACGTAGCGCAACTCAACTTCACCCGCGGTTACCATGCTCCTCGTCCAATGCCACTTCACCCTCATGTGCTTCGTGAGTCCATGCAACACAGGGTTCTTAGCAAGAGCAATGGCACCCTGGCTGTCACAGTACAGTGGGGTAGGTCCTTGCTGCTCCTCCCCCAATTCAGCCAACAAACGCCGCTGCCACACAATCTCCCGTACGGCACGGAAGAGTGCCATGTACTCGGACTCCACCGAGCTCAAAGCTTGGTCAACCTGCTTCTTGCTCTCCCAAGCAGTTGGGCCTCCACCAACACAGCATATGAAGCCTCCCACACTTGTCATGTCCTCTGGTTCTGATGCATATGAAGCATCCGAGTAGGCGGTGAGGAACAAACGCCCGGGTTCAACACCATCCGCGCCCTTTTGGCGCCTTTGTGCCGCCGCCGAGTATTGCAGCCCAACGGTCGGTGTTTGGCCAAGATACTTGGCCACCCTCATTCCAGCTGCTACCTGCTCCTCATTAGGGCATTGCACAACCCTAGCCAGCTGCCCGGTAGCAAACGCGACGTCCGGTCGGGTGTTTACCGCCGCATACATGAGGCTGCCCACCAACGAGTGAAATCGGCGCCTCTCCTCTTCACCAACGCTCTCCTCCTCTGGTCCCTTCACACACTTGAACCCAGAGGGAAAGGGTGTAGCCACATGGCCTTCACTCTGCCCAAAGTTGGCAGCCAATGCCTCCAGGTACTTTCGTTGATGCACCCGCATGCACCGCTTCTCCACATCTCGTTCGATGTGGAGCCCAAGGTAGAAGCTCACGTCACCAAGGGCCTTGCACTTGAACTTGTCTTGAAGCTTCAGCATCACCTCCTTCACAAGGTCAGAAGAGGGTGAGAAAATGAGGATGTCATCCACATAAACCACCATGAAACTCCTCTGCTCCCCCTCGCCAAGCATGAACAAGGAGTGATCGGCCGTTGAGGGAGTGAAGCCGATCCCCTCCAACACTTCGCGCAGCTTCATGTACCATTGCCTAGGGGCCTGCTTCAGCCCATAGAGGGCCTTCTTCAGCTTCCACACTCTGCCACTACCATCATCAAACCCCTCTGGCTGCGCCATAAAAATCTCCTCCTCAAGGATGCCGTTAAGGAATGCCGTTACGATGTCCATTTGCTTTACTACCCATCCTTTGATGGCGGCTCCCGCGAATAGGGTTCGCAGCGTCGTCGGCTTCACCACAGGGGCAAACAGCTCCTTGAAGTCCACCTTCTCCTTCTGCTGGTACCCCTTGGCTACAAGCCTAGACTTCTGATTGTGCAGGTGCATTTGCGGGTGCAGGTGCTGGAGCATTCGCCGTTGATTGCTGGCGAGCGGAGTGGCATTCCGCCGTAAATGCCGCAATTTCGAGCGTCGAATCTTCGAGTTGGCGCACGAGACGGTCGAGTTGCTCCTTCGTTAGTGTCGCAATGTTGAATTCAGCCATGGCGGGGGTGTCGGGCAAGCTCAGCGACTGCCTCTGTCGTGGCCGTGCGTGCTTACGAGAGAACACTTCGAGCGGCGGTGCTTGTTTCGCTGAGAGACGTCCAACCCCCCCCCAAAAAAATGAGATTGTGGGGAAGCGAAGGTGTGGGTGCGGTCCGAGAAGAGATCGTAGGCTCTTAATACCAAGTGTTACGTGCGCAATTGAGTGAGCAAGCAAGATTTGCACTATCGAAGCAAGAGTAAAATGAGCGAAGGCATGAGCGAAGAATATAGAGCGAAAACTACAGTGGTAACGGTAATGTGTGAAAATGGGATGCGCGACGGGCCTAGCGCCGATGTTGGGAAATGTCGAGGCGGAGGTCCGGAGCGCGGGTTACCAACCGAACCGTGACGTTGGGTCGCGTCGTGAACAGTGGCGGGAATAGTATCGAGGCAAGTGTCGCGAATGGTTACGGATTACTGTTGGGCGCTGTTTGCGGGAATAGTGGTGTACGCGCTGAGCAGGGACGAGAAGGAAAAGGAATTTTCCTTACACACATGCTCATCCCTCCGGTACTGAAACAGCCCCAAAAATGATATATTTTCGAATCAAAAATGATGCACTGTGCTTGAAGATCACCCCGAACCGCATCCCGCTGTTTTGCACGTCGGTGATTTGAGAATCAGTTCTGATTTTTGGGGTCCAGAATGGCATCCGTGAAGTGCAGAGCGGTTGACTGCGCTTTCAGTGTGTTCAACATTCCAGTACAATTGTGCCGCGACAGGTGCTCAATTCAAGCGTATTCCAAGGCTCGGACACCATCCAAAGTTCCCCCACGCGGTTCGCAATGTTGTAAATTTGAATTTCAATGTTCCGCCACGCGGTCCGTCATCTGGACACCTTGAAGCTGACGGCTACAGAACCTGCGAGTGCTTGCATGTCTATCTGCGACAGTGGGTTTAGGCACATGTCGCTGATTGATTGGGCTAATGAACATGACAGGCAGTCTACGTGGCACTGTCTGCTCTGCTTCCCAAGTAGGGACAGCAAATTTCAAGGAAAAATAAACTCCCAATTCCAAGCAAGATTAGCAACAGCCTCAGCTCGGCGAACAGCCAGCCTTCCCATTTCCCTCGTAGAAGCAGTTTCTATTTCGACATTGCACAATTTCTTCCAAATGTTGACGGCGGGCGGCATGGAGTTGAGGTTAGACGGAGTGGTTGTGAAAGTGCAACGAGCAGAGACGGCTGGAGAGACGGCGGAGATAGTCACAGGCACGAAGGAGCGAGCGGAGGAGTTGGAAGCGCAGGTGAAGAGGCAAGGCGAGACCATGGCAGCTCTGAAGCGAGAGGTGGACGAAATGAGGCGCGCGATGGTGAAGGGGGCGCTGGAGATGATGGGAGCGGCGGAGAACCACGGCGCTGGAAGTGCCGCGGCAGGAGAAGCACATGACGCGGACGGCCTTTCAGCGCAGCCGGCGGCGAAGGGCGAGGCGCTTATGGCCCTAGTGGAGGCCATGATCACGGCGCGGGTGAAGGACGTACGCGACGAGCTCGAGTCGCAAGTGAAGGGATTGACGGAGCAGTTGGAGGCCGTGAAACGTGAGGCGAGGGACGCGACGAGCGAGGCGAGGGCAGTGATCGAGCGGCAGGCGGCGGAGATAGCGGACGTGAAGGCGACAGCGGCGCACATTGACGCGCGGATGAACGACGTGGAGCTGGCGGTGGCGGAGTGGAAGAGCGCGCGGGAGACGACGCGCGCGGAGCACAGCGACGGCAACGCGGGGGAGCATGCAGGGGCGGAGGGGCGCGAGGGGAAAAAGAGGAAGAGGGAGGTCGAAGGGGATGAGCTGGCAGAATTTACTGGTGCTGCAGGAGTTGCTGCGGACGATGGAGATCAAAAACGGGATGATGGGGACAACTCGGGCTGGGAGGTTGAATGTGAGAAGGTGAAGAAGGCGGTGGAGGAGGTGGAAAGCAGAGTGGCTAAGCTGGAGACGACGAGTGACGAAGTAAAGAAAGTGTGGGAGGTGTGTGCCCCAATGTGTTGACATACGCGTTCTACCCCGTGCTTCCTCATCCGTGTATGTTGTTTCTCGCCACTAGTTTGGAAATGACACTTGGCATCTGTAGTTAGTTTATGGTACGTAACCCTCACTCTGTGCAGCACCCTCACTCTGTGCAGCACCCTCACTATGTTCAGCACCCTCACTCGATGCAGCACCCTCACTCTGTGCAGCACCCTCACTCTGTGCAGCGCCCTCACTCTGTGCAGCACCCTCACTCTGTGCAGCACCCTCACTCTGTGCAGCACCCTCACTCTGTGCAGCACCCTCACTCTGTGTAGCACCCTCACTCTGTGCAGCACCCTCACTCTGTGCAGCACCCTCACTCTGTGCAGCACCCTCACTCTGTGCAGCGCCCTCACTCTGTGCAGCACCCTCACTCTGTGCAGCACCCTCACTCTGTGCAGCGCCCTCACTCTGTGCAGCACCCTCACTCTGTGCAGCGCCCTCACTCTGTGCAGCACCCTCACTCTGTGCAGCACCCTCACTCTGTGCAGCACCCTCACTCTGTGCAGCACCCTGACTCTGTGCAGCACCCTGACTCTGTGCAGCACCCTGACTCTGTGCAGCACCCTCACTCTGTGCAGCACCCTCACTCTGTGCAGCACCCTCACTAAGTGCAGTACCACCCTCTCCCAATTGGTACCACCTTCTGTGTCCGCCTTTCTTTGACCTGGCTGCAGGCAATTCTCACGCTGTGGGAGATAGCAGCCCCCGAGGAAACTGAAATCGTCCTCAGCGGAATCTCCTGCCTCACAGACGCTGCTCTCACTCGTCTCACCTCATTGCCCTCCCTCACATCTGTCAACCTCGATGACTCCTCCGGCTTCACGGCAGCAGGATTCAGGAAGCTGTACTCCCTCACAGGTTTGGAGCATCTGGTTTTTGGGGACATTGATGCAACCGATGCTGCTCTGGAAGGGATTGGCTGCCTAAAGAACCTGCACGTTCTGGTTCTTGACAAGACCAATGTCACAGACGCGGGAGTGGCGAGGCTGCAAGAGCTGTCTGGCCTCACAGCACTGTGCATGACCGGATGTGCGTCCGTCACGTCTGCCAGCATGGTGCATGTGGGCAGAATGACAGCATTGCAGTTGCTTGCATTGAACATTACTGGAGTGAAAGAGGATGGGCTGCAGCATCTGACTGCCCTCGTGTCCCTCAAGGTCTTCACTCTGCCTCCAGGTGTGACTGACTCGCGCATAAGGCACCTGCGGAACATGAAACGCCTGGAGAAGCTGGGACTGTGGGATGCTAAAGTCACTGCATCAGGAATGAAGTGGCTCAAGGGTCTTAAGTGCCTCCAAAAGGTTGCAACTGTTTCATACGAGATGGAGGAATTGATAAGGGACAATCTCCCTGGAGTAGTTATATCGGGTACACTCAATGATTAATAATGTGAAGATATCGTAGAACGGAATACGTTTAAGTTTGAGCTGAGATTTCTAAGAGGTTAACTAATGCAGCCGTAGTCTCGTTTTACTCATGTACCGGTACTATGCTATCTTCTCTTGCATTTACACCTCTCCTTTTGTTCAGACCTCTGGGGTATACCAAACTGTCAATTATGTTTACCGTATATCTGGGGATGACGGAGTTGTGATCACAGTTTCGCTATTGTCTAACGCGCATCCTTTCTTACACAACTAAAATTGCGAAATTTTCTCGTGCTGTGCTTGAACAGCCCGCACCGCACCCACCTTGTCTGTAGTGTCCACGTCCAAGTTTTGAGAGCGTCTGTTTTGTTTCAGTGTCTGGAACGATAATTATGAGTTCCAGAGTGGTTGAGTGGACATTCCAGTGTGTTCTTTCACAAATATTCCCGCTTACTGTAAGCGGGGGGAAAGTTCAACCCAGTGTTGACGATTTCTGCCTACACATGGACAAGCCGTCTCCCAACCTGCGACAAGCTACTAGAAAAGCTTCCCAGTCTTCTCCCGATTGCATTCTAAGCATTACTCCTACAGCCACAGCTCAGTCCACAAGCAGTCCTTCCAGGTTCCCTCGAACGAGCGCTATCTATTTCGGCGTCGTACAATAGCGGTTCCAAATGGCGATGGCGGGCGGCATGGAGTTGAGGTTAGACGGAGTGGTTGTGAAAGTGCAACGAGCAGAGACGGCTGGAGAGACGGCGGAGTTAGTCACAGGCACGAAGGAGCGAGCGGAGGAGTTGGAAGCGCAGGTGAAGAGGCAAGGCGAGACCATGGCAGCTCTGAAGCGAGAGGTGGACGAAATTAGGCGCGCGATGGTGAAGGGGGCGCTGGAGATGATGGGAGCGGCGGAGAACCACGGCGCTGGAAGTGCCGCGGCAGGAGAAGCACATGACGCGGACGGCCTTTCAGCGCAGCCGGCGGCGAAGGGCGAGGCGCTTATGGCCCTGGTGGAGGCTATGATCGCGGCTCGGGTGAAGGACGTGCGGGACGAGCTCGAGTCGCAAGTGAAGGGATTGACGGAGCGGTTGGAGGCCGTGAAACGTGAGGCGAGGGACGCGACGAGCGATGTGAGGGCAGTGCTCGCGCAGCAGGCGGCGGAAATAGCAGATGTGAAGACGACAGCGGCGCACATTGACGCGCGGATGAACGACGTGGAGCTGGCGGTGGCGGAGTGGAAGGACGCGCGGGAGAAGGCGCGCGCGGAGGGCAGCAATGGCAGTGATGGCAGCGATGGCAACGACGGCAGCGCGAAGGAGCATGCAGAGGCGGAGGGGCGCGAGGGGAAGAAGAGGAAGAGGGAGGTCGCAGGGAAAGGCAGTGATGATGATGATGCGGCTTCTGATGAAAAGCGAGATGAAGCGGACAACTCAGAGCGGAAGGCGGAATTGCAGGAGGTGAAGGAGACGGTGGAGGCCGTGAAAAGCAGAGTGGCTAAGCTGGAGACGAGGGCGGATACGGTGGTGGGCAGAGTGACGAAGCTGGAGAGGAAGAGTGACGAGGGAAAGAGGACATTGGAGGTGAGTGCTTGCTTCCATGTGCCTCCATGTTTTCATGGGCTACCCGTGCTCCCCTCTAATCCCCTGGGCTACGATGATGCTGTGTTCGCCGCTACGAATGGACGGAAAGAACACATGGCAGCCGTGGTCGTTGGTTGATGGTACATACACCTTTGCAATCACCCTGTGCCGTATTCCGCGGCCAATCAGAACTCAGTAGTGCTCGTGCCTGCCGCTGCTTGCCCTACCTGCAGGCGATGCTCACCCTGTGGGCGGCAGCTGCACCAGGGCAGAAGCGAATGGACCTCAGCGGCATCTCCTGCCTCTCAGACGCTGCTCTCACCCACCTCGCCTCGTTGCGCCACCTCACGTTCGTCGACCTCGGAGCCTCCTCGGGCTTCACAGCAGCAGGGATGAGGAAGCTGTACTCCCTCACAGGCCTGGAGCATCTGATACTTGGGGGGGGCACCAACGCAACTGATGCAGCTCTGGAGGGGATTTCCCGCCTCACGAACCTGCAAATCCTTGTGGTTAACAACACCAATATCACAGACGTGGGAGTGGCGAGGCTCCAGGAGCTCTCTGCTCTCACGGCACTGTGCATGACTGGATGTGCGTCTCTCACGTCTGCCAGCATGGTGCATGTGGGCAGAATGATGTCACTGGAGTGGCTCACATTGAATGAAAGTGGAGTGAAGGAGGATGGGCTGCAGCATCTGACCGCCCTCACTTCTCTCAAGTTTTTCATTTTGCCTTCAAGAGTGACTGACTCAAGCTTGAAGCACCTGAGGAACATGAAACGCCTGGAGAAGCTGGGAGTGTGGGATTGCATCATCACTGCATCAGGTATAAACTGGCTCAAGGGGCTTCCCAACCTCCAAAAGATTGGAACTTGTTCGTACGAGACGGAGGAATTGATAAGGGACAACCTTCCAGGAGTAATTACTACATCAGGTCCAATCAATACATGATGTACAGAAAAATAGTATGCTTATTGCCTATTGCAATGAAAGCTTAGCTATTGAAGCTCCACCGCTGATCCTGTAAGTTCAATTTGATACCCAATGTTGATAATGATCCTTGCTAGCTAGCTCTCTGTAGGAACAAGGGCTCTCGTAGAATTTACCCCTGATGTTACAAAGGTGGGGTTGTTTTAAAGACCAGATTACATAACACAGCGCATGGCTAGACTCTGACCAGTTTGCTTTCCATATTCCTGCCCGCTTCCCCGCTCCCCTGCCCTGATTCCTTAGTGCTTTGCAAACTCTAATCAATTCTGCTTACTTCTGCCCAGAGGTACCCTGCGCCTGGCGAGTCATTTCCACTATAAGGTCCTTCACATCCCTGCATGCACGCACACACAATGGGAGGAGAGGGCAAACCGTATCCAATCCAAAGGCATGGATTGCTCAGCACAAGGGCAGGCAGTGTTTCAGCGCAGACAGACAGTGAGAAAGCTGCCTGTAGCAATCCTTAGCAATGACGCGCGGCAGTTCCCCTGTCCGCTTCCCCCCTCCCCTTCTCCCCTCAACCTTCTCCTCCCCCACCCCCCTTTCCTCCCTTCCCTCTCCCCTCTCCCCCCCCTTGGCTGTACACAATTCATTGCTCTCTACCCTCTCACACATCTCGCTAGCCACTCACTTTCTGCTGGCAGCGGGGCGGGGGAAGGGCAGGCGCACTCGAGACAGCTGCCCCTTGAGAGGCGTCTGGTGGTTGCCATGCGGGGTGGGGTGGTGGGCATGGTGTGGAAATGGTGGGGTTGGTGGGAATGGTGGACATGGTGGCATGAGGGGATGAAGGTGATGAAGGTGATGGTCAGCATGATTGCAATAAAGGGTAGCAGATGGTTGGGGGTTGGTCGAGAGAGTGGAGGGAATGGAGAGACGAGATTTTGCAGGAATGAGGAAGCGCGAGGCGGAAGCTGTTTGCTCAGCAACGCTGGAGAGAGAACAGGATGCCACTGCTTGCACAGTGAACACTGCAGAGTCACACACACATCCCACTATGGCATGGCAGGTACATGCATGGCGCGTCGCGTGGGGCGGTGCTGCATGCATGGCATGTGGTCGTGACACGGCAACTAACCTCCACCAGGAATCCAAAGCGGTCCACATAGAGGATCTTGGCCGATGGTACCTGGTGGCAGCACGGCGAGGCATAGGATAGGATAGCACGGTGCGCGGGGCAGTAGGATGGACAGTGAGGGACGAGTACAGTTGAATACACACAGTGGACACAGTGAATACACAGTGAGGGAAGACTGTTGAATACACAGTGAAGAGCTGCTTCTGCGTCACTCAGAGCAACCTCAGTCAGTGCTCGATTGATTGAAAGCAACGTGGGTAGCGAGAGGACAGGACAGCAAGGGCCAGATAACGAATGCACGGCCTTGCACATGGAAGTGCGCGTTGAGCACAGATAGCAGGGCTTGCAGTCATTGATTTATGGAGCCCAGCAGTGATCCCAGAAAGGCATGGCAAGCGCAGCATGCTGCATGCACTGCAGTGAGCCCGGCTTACCTCCACTCCACCCACACATGCAGTAGGGGAGGCGCTAACACACACACACCCCACGCGCTGCAATGGCAGCAGGGCAACGCATGGCAGCAGCAGCGTGCTGCATGCAGTGCAGTGAGCCTGGCTCACCTCCACATGCAGTGCCGCATGCACCATGGCTCGGATGGCGTCCTCATGGTCACTGTTCATGTGCGCCTGCCATGCCGCATGGCGTGTTGTAGTGGGGTGGGGCGCCATGTGCAGCGCGTGGGTGGGGTACAGTGGAGTGAAGTGCAAACAGGCGAGGAAAACAGAGAGGGTGAGAGCAAAGTGCATGCGCGCAGTCATGTTGCTGTGAGCTTGAACAGGTGCTGTGCTGTTGACGCAGACTGGCACTTGCAGTGCATACCACAATTGCATTGCAGCACCAACTCTCACCTCTCACCCCCGCTTCCCACTCTCTCTCACACCCCCCTTCATCCCCGGCCCACCCCCCTCCCATTCCCCTCCCAGCAGCCCCTCAGGGCACGGCTCACAGCAATGGGAGCCTCAAAGGGGGCGATGGGGTCGGGCATTGCTTCTGCATACTCCTGTGGTGATAGCTCTGAGGGGGAGAGGTGGGTGAGGGGGGGGAAAGGGGAGTGAGAGGAGGGTGGTGGGTAGGAGGGGGAAGAGGAGAAAGTGTGGAGTGAGGTGGGGTTGCGAGATGCAAGGAGGTGGGGAAATGGAACAATGTGGGGAAGGCAGGGCATGGGAGGCAGGCAGGGCATGGGAGGCATAGCAGTGGAGAGGAAGAGT